TCCATTTCAACACATTTTTGTGAACTTGGTGCAGTAATTGTGTGAACACTCAAAACAAGCCCCCAAACCGAACTGAGACCATCTGGATCTCGTTGTCTGAGTTCGCTTCGTTTGAATTCCGTGGTCCGGTTCCCTTTTTTAGGGCAATGTGAACACCTTGCTCCCAAGGTTGTCATTATTCCCGCACCACACACTAGACTAGACTTCTGCAACACTGTTTCCCTGCCACGCTCACATCGGTGCAACAAAAGAGAGAATATGGTGAGGGTCAGGTTTGTGGAAAAAAAAAAGTGGCCTGTTTTTGGATATTGATTAGAGATTGTCAAGTATGCACAGAAATTCCAGTTTTTTAGTAGTGATGTTACGTTTGATACCGGAGGTCCGAGGCGTGTGTCGAAATCTCTAAGCAGTTTCCTTCAAAGCAGTGTGCCGATGCACGTGATCAATGGCGTCCGAATTTTCGTTTTGTCGAACAACCACCTGATTGGTTTGGTATTGATTGAAAAGACAAAAAGGCTATGCTGCGCACGCGCTACTGGGTGTGGGACTTCAACTATTTGGCTGCTCAAAATTATTTTGAGCATCAGGTGCCACTAATGTTCACTGTGTTGATCAAAGCCTCGAGCAATGAACCTATCTTCGACACAATTGGCTGGAAAGCCTCAATGCTTCAGGAAGCTTTGTTTCCCCATCACTAGTTTTTAGTTCAAATTATTTGTTTGCAGCATGTAATCTATAAGAGAGCTTCATTATTCGATTATGGGTTTGAATAGCGTGAGAAGGCAACACATCTGGTGAGAATCAGACGAACCATCAAACAGGCAAAGCGTCAATACAGGACTAAGATTGAATCCTACTACACCAGCTCCAACGCTCGTCGGATGTGGCAGGGCTTGCAAACTATTACGGACTAGCCGTGAGCTGCCCAATGACGCGAGCCTGCCAGACGAGCTAAATGCCTTTTATGCTCGCTTCAAGGCAAGCAACACTGAGGCATGCATGAGAGCACAAGCTGTTCCGGACGACTGTGTGATCAAGCTCTCCGTAGCCGATGTGAGCAAGACCTTTAAACAGGTCAACATTCACAAGGCCGCGGAGCCAGACAGATTACCAGGACGTGTACTCAGAGCATGCGCGGACCAACTGGCAAGTATCTTCATTGACATTTTCAACCTCTCCCTGACTGAGTCTGTAATACCTACATGTTTCAAGCAGACCACCATAGTCCCTGTGCCCAAGAAAGCGAAGGTAACCTGCCTAAATGACTACCGCCCCGTAACACTCACGTCGGTATCCATGAAGTGCTTTGAAAGGCTGGTTATGGCTCACATCAACACCATCATCCCGGAAACCCTAGACCCATTCCAGTTCGCATACCGCCCCAATAGATCCACAGATGATGCAATCTCAATTGCACTCCACACTGCCCTTTCCCACCTGGACAAAAGGAACACCTATGTGAGAATGCTGTTCATTGACTACAGCTCATCGTTCAACATCATAGTGCCCTCAAAGCTCATCACTAAGCTAAGGACCCTGGGACTAAACACCTCCCTCTGCAACTGGATCCTGGACTTCCTGACAGGCCGCCCTCAGGTGGTAAGGGGAGGCAACAACACATCTGCCATGCTGATCCTCAACACGGGAACCCCTCAGGGGTACGTGCTTAGTCCCCTCCTGTACTCCCTGTTCACCGACTGCGTGGCCAAGCACGACTTCAACACCATCATTAAGTTTGCTGACGACACAACAGTAGTAGGCCTGATCACCAACAACGATAAGACAGCCTATAGAGAGGAGGTCAGAGACCTGGCAGTGTGGTGCCAGGACAACAACCTCTCCCTCAACGTCAGCAAGACAATGGAGATGATCGTGGACTACAGGAAAAGGAGGGTCAAACAGGCCCCCATTAACATCGACAGGGCTGCAGTGAGCGGGTCGAGAGTTTAAAGTTCCTTGGTGTCCACATCACCAACAAACTATCATGATCCAAACACACCAAGACAGTCGTGAAGAGGGCACGACAACACCTTTTCCCCCTCAGGAGACTGAAAAGATTTGGCATGGGTCCCCAGATCCTCAAAAAGTTATACAACTGCACCATCGAGAGCATCCTGACCGGTTGCATCTCCGCCTGGTATGGCAACTGCAAGGCATTCGACCGTAAGGCGCTACAGAGGGTAGTGCGTACGGCCCAGTACATCACCGGGGCCAAGCTTCCTGCCATCCAGGACCAATATACTAGGCGGTGTCAGAGGAAGGCACAAAAAATTGTCAAAGACTCCAGTCACCCAAGTCATAGACTGTTCTCTCTGCTACCGCAAGCGGTACCGGAGTGCCAAGTCTAGGTCACAAAGGCTCCCTAACAGCTTCTACCCTCCAAGCCATAAGACTGCTGAACAATTAATAAAATGGCCACCAGTAGGTACTCTACCCTGCACCTTAGAGAATGCTGTCCTAACAGTCCTGTTCAGCCTACATAGAGTCGTTGAACACCGGTCACTTTATTAAGGTTTACATACTGTTACCCACTTTATTCTAGTCATGGCTCATCCCATATAACTACTGCCTCACACACCTTTCCTATTTCATATACTATCCATACACACCATTCACATACATACACATGTATTTATATTCCGTACTCTGAGCATTGCTCGTTCTTATATTGCTCGTTCTGAAATGTCTTAATTTCTTAAGTTTTGCTAGATATTGCGGCATCGTTGGAGTTAGAAACATTAAGCATTTCGCTGCACCTGCGATAACATCTGCAAAACTGTGTATGCGACCAATACACTTTGATTTGATTAGATGTATATGTGTGTGATGACGACTGATTCATATTTTCATGTAGTTTCGGTATGACTCATTAGTTCCACCGTCATCATTTGGTTCCACTCTCTCGACCAATCAGACGCGTTGGACGTGGGTGTGGTTTTGACTGACAAGCAAAATGCGCCAATCCGCTTCGAGAAGGTGGGGTTGGGATATATTCAGTGCGGATACGTGGGTATCGAAGTTCTTTTCGAAATGAGTTTCCACTACGGCCAGGTAAATATACCTTATCCGGGTTTGATATTTATTTTAAACATTTATAATAGCTCTTTACTATTGTGCGTTATGATATGTCCATCTATTCCTTTTGTGTGTAGTCGTTTGCAGTGGTGAAATGAGTGGACTGCGGTATTACCTATTATTGACTGCTACAAAAAAGTTACAGCTAGCTAGCCTTTAGCAAGACGCGTATAAACATGTAGCTAGTTACAATGTAACCTGTTTCTGTGTTCTAGCATAGTGATACAATGTTGCAAATGTATTATATAGCAAGCATAATTTGTCCCTTGAAACAATTGCCTTTTTGCTACATTGTAACAATAACAACTAGGCATAGCTTTAGCCTGGCCGTAACCGCTAAGTGCTTTAGCGCCTCTTGACGATAGCATCTTCTGACCAGGGGAGTTTAGTTCAACGAGCCCCGACGCTTGGGGGAAACATTAACACGCAGCCCTTGCGCTACTTTTAATATCAGCAAGACAACATTTTCAAAAGACAAAAAAGGTTAAATTACTACACACCTTTTATAGAGTTAGCCACACGGCCATATCTCCATGTTAGAGCTGTTGTTTACAGAAAAAGGAGGAAGACAGTGTTAAGACTACCTGTGGTAATTAGCTATCTGCTTCCCAACACCTGTGTGGAAACGGAAGACAGGCGACTACCTGTGTTAATTAGCTAGCTGCTTCTCAACACCTGTGTGGAAACGGAAGACAGGCGACTACCTGTGTGTAATTAGCTAGCTGCTTCTCAACACCTGTGTGGAAACGGAAGACAGGCGACTACCTGTGGTAATTAGCTAGCTGCTTCTCAACACCTGTGTGGAAACGGAAGACAGGCGACTACCTGTGGTAATTAGCTAGCTGCTTCTCAACACCTGTGTGGAAACGGAAGACAGACGACTACCTGTGTTTAAAAAAAAAAAAAAAAAACAAAAATTAGCTACTGCTTCTCAACACCTGTGTGGAAACGGAAGACACAGACTTGTTGGTAAATACAGCGGCTTACACTGTGTTTGAAACGGTAAAACCAACTACACTGTAAATTGTATTTTTATTGTGAAGAACTGGATCTGTGGAATTAGGCTATGTTTCTAAACCGTGGAAACCGAGAACGAGGCACTTGTGTGATATTTGACAGTGGCTTCCAAACCTTTGTAAACGGAAGACAGCACTACCTTGGTAAGTTAATTAGATTTCCTTAGTCACACTAGTGGGCAACAGTATGACTCCTGGCTAATGTGTTAGGCTTCCAAGCCTGTGGGCAGTCGGTATATTGCTTGCTCTCAAATTGGAAACGGTAGAGACAACGATACCTTGTTAATCAGCTGTGTTTACCTGTGTGGAAACGGCAGAGTGATCCTAAATACACGGTCACTGTGTGGGTTTGTATAATGTTTGCTTGGATATTTGGAAACTTGGATGTGCATCGAGACACAGTAGGTGGCTTATGTTTCTAGAACCGGAACACAATTGAGAATCGATTCACGTTTAGATGGAGTATTTGACCGTTTTGGCTTCCAGAACCAATTTGCCTTTAAACAGAACATGCAAGGTTCCTTGGACTATAAAGAGTAACGTTAGATTCCTTTAGTCCAATATTGGGCAAAGTTTGCCCCTGCGGCTACATGTGTTAGGCTGTGGCCTAGTCCTTGTGCTTTAGTGGTATATTGTTGCTCAATAATGACAGGTAGAGTCCAATGTCTTGTTTCAGTTGTGTGTAGTGGGCTATATTGGCATGATGATCATCAGTATCAGGTGATTGTGTTGTATAGTTTGCCTTGGGATATTTAGGCAACATGGTGATAGTTGCATTTCGAGACACAGTAGGCTCCTTGCTGCTTTACTAATAGAGAAGGGAATCAACAGCAGCCTAGGCTATTATGTTATGATTGTGTTTATCATATTAACCAAACTCGACTTCGCTCCCACCATCCCTCTCTCCAGGGTTATCCAGGAGGACCAGCTGGAGGGGCTAACTTCCCCCATCAACACCCACCCCCTGGTGCTCCATACGGGGCTAGCGCTCCACCTGGTGGCCCCCCTCCCCACGGATCTCCATACGGGACCACCACTCCCCCCTCCGCACCCCCAGGACAGTATGGAGGCTCTGGCCCATCGGGGTACGCCCCGTATGGGGGAGCGGCCGCCACAGGAGGGGGCTATGGGTCCCCAGGACAGGGGAGGCAGGCTGGAGGAGCACCGGGGGCCCCATACGGAGGAGGACAGACCCCTGGAGGGCCCTATGCCGGGGGGTACGGAGGACAACCACAGGGAGGGCCCTATGGACAGCAGTCTCCAGCAGGTCAGTTACTGTGTTATAGTTTTCACTGTGTGATTTGGTGAAGTCCTGGTGGGGACCTGAAGTCCTCACAAGGATAGTAAAACAATGAAAACATTTCGCTGGTCAAGGAAAAAGGCTATTTTAGGCTTAAGGGTTAGCGGTTAGGGAAAACAGGATTTTGAACGGGAATCAATTAGTGAAACAAACGTGTTTGTGATACTGAGTAGCTAAGACAAGGGTTCCGACAGGGTCTCTCTGCCTCCATAGAGTTTCCTCTAGTGAACCACAACCTTACTGTACTCTGTGAGTACATAATACAGAGTACCCAATAATTCACACAGGGTGTCTCTGTCCTTCTCTCTTTCTGTCTCTGGGGATGATGAATATACACAGTCTGGGTCGGACAGGAAGACCTGTAGAGACGGACAGGAAGACCTGTAGAGACGGACAGAAAGACCTGTAGAGACGGACAGAAAGACCTGTAGCGACGGACAGGGTTTAGTTTGTATCCCTCAGCAGGACTTAAACTGGTGGAGTGATGACTGGGTTAATACTGTGTGTCTAGTGATATTGTCCCCCTGTGGTAGCTGAGTCACAGGGCTGATAAACAGACTCATTACCACTCCCCACAGGGACAGCATGCATCTGGGCTCCGCTTTAAATCTCTCTCCCTCCCCGTCACTCTACTTCCCCCCTCTTTCTCCCTCTGTCACTCTCCCTCCGTCACTCTACTTCCCCCCTCTACTCTCTCTCTCTCTCTCTCTCTGTGTGAGTGTCTGTCACTCTCTCTCCAGAGATGGCGTGACGCATGCACAGACAAGGCATTTTCCAAAGCATGCACACAAACCTCAACCAAAGACTGTTATAACATGGTTTAACCTGTACGTTTCTTCTCCTTTAACACTCATCCCTCTCTCCTCTCCTCCCTAGGTAACCTCTCTCGTCCATCTCTCCTCTCCTCCCTAGGTAACCTCTCTAGTCCCTTTCTCCTCTCCTCCCTAGTACCTCCCTAGTTCCCTCTCTCCTCTCCTCCCTAGGTAACCTCTCTCTTCCTCTCCTCCCTAGGTAACCTCTCTCTCTCCTGCCCAGGTACCTCCCTAGTCCTCTCTCTCTCTCCACCCTAGGTACCTCTCTGCCCTCTCTCCTCCTAGTAACTCTCTCTCTCCCTAGGTAACCTCCCTCGTCCCTCTCTCTCTCTCCCTAGGTAACTCTCTCTCCCTTCGTCTCTCTCTCCAGGTAACTCTCTCTCTCCTCCCTATAACCTCTCCTAGTCCCTCTGTCTCCTCTCCTCCCTTCTCTCCTCTCCTCCCTAGGTAACCTCTCTCGTCCCTCTCCTCCATAGGTAACCTCTCTCGTCCCTCTCTCCTCTCCTCCCTAGGTAACCTCTCTCGTCGTCCTCTCTCCTCTCCTCCCTAGGTAACTCTCGTCCTCTCTCCTCTCCTCCCTAGGTAACCTCTCTGTCCCTTCTCCTCTCCTCCCTAGGTAACCTCTCTGTCCCTCTCTCCTCTCCTCCCTAGGTAACCTCTCTCGTCCCTCTCTCCTCTCCTCCCTAGGTAACCTCTTCGTCCCTCTCTCTCTCCTCCCTAGGTAACCTCTCTGTCCTCTCTCCTCCCTCCCTAGGTAAACTCTCTCGTCCCTCTCTCTCTCCCCCTAGGTAACTCTCTGTCCCTCTTCCTCTCTTCCTAGGTAAACTCTCTCGTCCTCTCTCTCTCCCTAGGTAAACTCTCTCGTCCCTCTCTCCTCCCTAGACCTCTCCTCTCTTCCTAGGTAACCTCTCTCGTCCTCTCGTCCTCTCCTCCCTAGGTAACCTCTCTGTCCCTCTCTCCTCTCCTCCCTAGGTAACCTCTCTCCTCTCTCTCCTCCCTAGGTAACCTCCTCGTCCCCTCTCCTCTCCTCCCTAGGTAACCTCTCTCGTCCCTCTCCTCTCCTCCCTAGGATCCTCTCTCGTCCCTCTCTCCTCCCTAGGTAACCTCTCTCCTCTCTCCCTAGGTAACCCTCTCTCCTCTCTCCTCTCCCCCTAGGTAACCTCCTCGTTCCCTCTCTCCTCTCCTCCCTAGGTAACCTCTCTCTCCTTCTCCTCCCTAGGTAACCTCTCTCGTCCCTCTCTCCTCTCCTCCCTAGGTAACCTCTCTAGTCCCTCTCTCCTCTCCTCCCTAGGTAACCTCTCTAGTCCCTCTCTCCTCTCCTCCCTAGGTAACCTCTCTGTCCCTCTCTCTTCCTCCCTAGGTAACCTCTCTCAGTCCTCCTCTCCTCTCCTCCCTAGGTAACCTCTCTAGTCCCTCTCTCCTCTCCTCCCTAGGTACCTCTACTCCTCTCCCTAGGTAACCTCTCTCTCCCTCTCCTCTCCTCCCAGGTAACTCCTCTTAGCCCTCTCCTCTCCTCCCTAGGTAACCTCTCAGTCCCTCTCTCTCTCCCTAGGTAACCTCTCTAGTCCCTCTCTCTCTCCTCCTAGGTAACCTCTCTAGTCCCTCTCTCTCTCCTCCCTAGGTAACCTCTCTGTCCCTCTCCTCCCTAGGTCCTTCACCTCTCTTTCTCCTCCTAGGTAACCTCTCTAGTCCCCTCTCCTCCTATCCTCCTCCCTATCCAGGTAATCCTCTGTCATCCTCTCTTCTCCTCCCTAGGTAACCTCTCTAGTCCCTCTCTCCTCTATCCTCTATAGGTAACCTCTCTGTCCCTCTCTCCTCCCTAGGTAACCCTCCGTCCCTCTCTCCTCCCTAGGTAACCTCTCTCGTCCCTCTCTCTCTCCTCCATAGGTAACCTCTCTCGTCCCTCTCTCCTCTCCTCCCTAGGTAACCTCTCTCGTCCCTCTCTCCTCCTCCCTAGGTAACCTCTCTCGTCCCTCTCTCTTCTCTCCTCCCTAGGTAACCTCTCTCGTCCCTCTCTCTTCTCTCCTCCCTAGGTAACCTCTCTCGGCCCTCTCTCCTCTCCTCCCTAGGTAACCTCTCTCCTCCCTCTCTCCTCTCCTCCCTAGGTAATCTCTCTCTTCCCTCTCTCCTCTCCTCCCTAGGTAACCTCTCTCTTGTCCCTCTCTCCTCTCCTCCCTAGGTAACCTCTCTTGTCCCTCTCTCCTCTCCTCCCTAGGTAACCTCTCTCTTGTCCCTCTCTCCTCTCCTCCCTAGGTAACCTCTCTCTTGTCCCTCTCTCCTCTCCTCCCTAGGTAACCTCTCTCTTGTCCCTCTCTCCTCTCCTCCCTAGGTAACCTCTCTCTTGTCCCTCTCTCCTCTCCTCCCTAGGTAACCTCTCTCGTCCCTCTCTCCTCTCCTCCCTAGGTAACCTCTCTCCTCTCCTCCCTAGGTAACCTGTCTTGTCCCTCTCTCCTCTCCTCCCTAGGTAACCTTTCTTGTCCCTCTCTCCTCTCCTCCCTAGGTAACCTCTCTCGTCCCTCTCTCCTCTCCTCCCTAGGTAACCTCTCTCGTCCCTCTCTCCTCTCCTTCCTAGGTAACCTCTCTCACCCCTCTCTCCTCTCCCTAGGTAACATACCACCAGGGGTGAACCCAGAAGCATACCAGTGGTTCCAGACAGTCGACACAGACCATAGCGGTTCCATCACTCTAAAGGAACTGAAACAGGCTCTGGTAAACTCCAACTGGTCAGCCTTCAACGACGAGACCTGCCTTATGATGATCAGTGAGTTAAACAGGGAGAGGGGGGTGGAAAGAGGGAGGTGTACAGAGAGAGTGAGAGAGGGAGGGGAAGAGTGGAGTGTTGGAGAAGTTATGGAGAGAGGCGGAATTAAAGACATGTAGGTGGATGGTGGTGATGATGATGGTCTTTGAGTCAGAAATTCAAAACTGTGCTATTCACATCTGTACTACTCAGCCATCGTACTGTTAACAGCTAGGACAGAGTGAAGACTTGGGCTAAGTGTTCAAATCTTCACTCATTCAAGTCACACGTATCACATTTTATGTGAATGGCATGTGCGTGGCTGTAGTGTGAATGGCATGTGCATGGCTGTAGTGTGAATGGTATGTGCGTGGCTGTAGTGTGAATGACATGTGCGTGGCTGTAGTGTGAATGGCATGTGCGTGGCTGTAGTGTGAATGGCATGTGCGTGGCTGTAGTGTGAATGGCATGTGCGTGGCTGTAGTGTGAATGACATGTGCGTGGCTGTAGTGTGAATGGCATGTGCGTGGCTGTAGTGTGAATGACATGTGCGTGGCTGTAGTGTGAATGGCATGTGCGTGGCTGTAGTGTGAATGGCATGTGCGTGGCTGTAGTGTGAATGGCATGTGCGTGGCTGTAGTGTGAATGGCATGTGCGTGGCTGTAGTGTGAATGGCATGTGCGTTGCGTGGCTGTAGTGTGAATGGCATGTGCGTGGCTGTAGTGTGAATGGCATGTGCGTGGCTGTAGTGTGAATGGCATGTGCGTGGCTGTAGTGTGAATGACATGTGCGTGGCTGTAGTGTGAATGGCATGTGCGTGGCTGTAGTGTGAATGGCATGTGCGTGGCTGTAGTGTGAATGGCATGTGCGTGGCTGTAGTGTGAATGGCATGTGCGTGGCTGTAGTGTGAATGGCATGTGCGTGGCTGTAGTGTGAATGGCATGTGCGTGGCTGTAGTGTGAATGGCATGTGCGTGGCTGTAGTGTGAATGGCATGTCCACACTCTTCTGTCATAGTCATAGACTTGTCCTATTGACTCCATACTCTTCTGTCATAGTCCCCTGTAGCTCAGTTGGTAGAGCATGGCGTTTGCAACGCCAGGGTTGTGGGTTCGTTTCCCACGGGGGGGCCAGTATGAAAATGTTATGCGCTCACTAACTGTAAGTCGCTCTGGATAAGAGCGTCTGCTAAATGACTAAAATGTAAATGTAAAAGACTTGTCCTATTGACTCCATACTATTCTATCATAGTCAGATACTATTGACTCCTCACTGGGTTTTTACCAACCAAAATTTCCCCATTCACTAAAGGACATCTGTACTTTTCCTAAGAACATAAATGTACCTGACAGTAACTCTCGAGAAAGGGATTGTGAAAATGAAATAAAAGCACTTAACTTCAGCCATTGACCTGTTCTCAACGTTCCCATTGTCTGCAGAGCAGCTATATCCTCCATGAGAGAGGACAATAAGCATACAAGTCCCCTGTGTGGTTACCAAGACAACCCATTAAGCTGTAGACCTGTTACCAAGACAACCCATTAAGCTGTAGGCCAGTTACCAAGACAACCCATTAAGCTGTAGACCTGTTACCAATACAACCCATTAAGCTGTAGACCTGTTACCAATACAACCCATTAAGCTGTAGACCTGTTACCAAGACAACCCATTAAGCTGTAGGCCAGTTACCAAGACAACCCATTAAGCTGTAGACTTGTTACCAATGCAACCCATTAAGCTGTAGACCTGTTACCAAGACAACCCATTAAGCTGTAGACTTGTTACCAATGCAACCCATTAAGCTGTAGACCTGTTACCAAGACAACCCATTAAGCTGTAGACCTGTTACCAAGACTACCCATTAAGCTGTAGACCTGTTACCAAGACAACCCATTAAGCTGTAGACTTGTTACCAATGCAACCCATTAAGCTGTAGACCTGTTACCAAGACAACCCATTAAGCTGTAGACCTGTTACCAAGACTACCCATTAAGCTGTAGACCTGTTACCAAGACAACCCATTAAGCTGTAGACCTGTTACCAATACAACCCATTAAGCTGTAGACCTGTTACCAAGACAACCCATTAAGCTGTAGACCTGTTACCAAGACAACCCATTAAGCTGTAGGCCGGTTACCAAGACAACCCATTAAGCTGTAGGCCGGTTACCAAGACAACCCATTAAGCTGTAGGCCGGTTACCAAGACAACCCATTAAGCTGTAGACTTGTTACCAAGACAACCCATTAAGCTGTAGACTTGTTACCAATGCAACCCATTAAGCTGTAGACCTGTTACCAAGACAACCCATTAAGCTGTAGACCTGTTACCAAGACTACCCATTAAGCTGTAGACCTGTTACCAAGACAACCCATTAAGCTGTAGACCTGTTACCAATACAACCCATTAAGCTGTAGACCTGTTACCAAGACAACCCATTAAGCTGTAGACCTGTTACCAAGACAACCCATTAAGCTGTAGGCCTGTTACCAAGACAACCCATTAAGCTGTAGGCCGGTTACCAAGACAACCCATTAAGCTGTAGACCTGTTATCAAGACAACCCATTAAGCTGTAGACCTGTTAACAAGACAACCCATTAAGCTGTAGACCTGTTAACAAGACAACCCATTAAGCTGTAGACCTGTTACCAAGACAACCCATTAAGCTGTAGACCTGTTACCAAGACAACCCATTAAGCTGTAGACCTGTTAACAAGACAACCCATTAAGCTGTAGAACTGTTACCAAGACAACCCATTAAGCTGTAGACCTGTTACCAAGACAACCCATTAAGCTGTAGACCTGTTACCAAGACAACCCATTAAGCTGTAGACCTGTTACCAAGACAACCCATTAAGCTGTAGACCTGCTGGGAATGAATGTATTTTCTCTCCTGTTTATCCCAGACATGTTTGACAAGACCAAGTGTGGTCGTATCGACCTGTTTGGGTTCTCAGCCCTGTGGGTCTTCATGCAGCAGTGGAGACAGCTGTTCCAACAGTACGACCGCGACCGCTCCGGCTGCATCAGTGGCACTGAGCTACACCAAGGTGAGGTGGGTGGGACACCGAGGTGAGGTGGGTGGGACACCGAGGTGAGGTGGGTGGGACACCGAGGTGAGGTGTGGGTGGGTGACCAAGGTGAGGTGTGGGTGGGTGGGTGGGACTCCGAGGTGAGGTGTGGGTGGGTGGGTGGGACTCCGAGGTGAGGTGTGGGTGGGTGACCAAGGTGAGGTGTGGGTGGGTGGGTGGGACTCCGAGGTGAGGTGTGGGTGGGTGACCAAGGTGAGGTGTGGGTGGGTGGGTGGGACTCCGAGGTGAGGTGTGGGTGGGTGACCAAGGTGAGGTGTGGGTGGGTGGGTGGGACTCCGAGGTGAGGTGTGGGTGGGTGACCGAGGTGTGAGTGGGTGGGTGGGACTCCGAGGTGAGGTGTGGGTGGGTGACCAAGGTGAGGTGTGGGTGGGACTCCGAGGTGAGGTGGGTGGGTGGGACTCGGGGGTGAGGTGTGAGTGGGTGGGTGGGACTCCGAGGTGAGGTGTGGGTGGGTGACCAAGGTGAGGTGTGGGTGGGACTCCGAGGTGAGGTGGGTGGGTGGGACTCGGGGGTGAGGTGTGGGTGGGTGGGTGGGACTCGGGGGTGAGGTGTGGGTGGGTGGGTGGGACTCGGGGGTGGGTGGGTGGGACTCGGGGGTGTGGGGTGGGTGGGTGGGTGGACTCCAAGGTGAGGTGTGGGTGGGGTGTACACGTGCGTGTGTTCAGTATGAAGTGAATCCTAATTCCCACTTAAGTTGAATTTTCACTTCGTCTCCCAATGACGTCAATGCATGACTTAGTGAAAACTCTATGTGATGGCAATGTATGCAGAAGACATAGATGGAGAAAATGAATAAAAACATTATGTTCTAGTCTTAATCGAGAGAGAGCAGGAGCCTGAACAGACACAAAGCTCCAAAAGAGCGCGCTCTCCTCCCAGACAGCCCATCTACTCTCTCTCACAACCAAGATCCCCTGCCCCCCCCCATAACTCTTCTCCTTCCCCCCATCCCTCCGCTCTTCCTCTCTCTCCTTCCCCCCCATCCCCTCCTCTCGACGGACTACCCTCCCTCCAGCCCTGTCCCAGATGGGCTACAACCTGAGCCCCCAAGTTACGATGAGGACTATAGCGGCCAAGTCGGCTCTGTGAACGGCTCTTGGGTCCGTCCTGGCTCAATGCAGCTGGACTGTTTCATCCAGGTCTGTACACAGCTACAGAGCATGACGCAGGCCTTCAGGGAGAAAGACTCCGCCATGACGGGAAACATACGCATGAGCTATGAAGACTTCCTCTCCACCACCGTCAACAGACTCATGTGAGGGACAATGGTCATATCCACCTCCCAGTGGTGGCTGGTGGCACTTTAAATGGGGAGGACAGGCTCATAGTGACGGCTGGAATGGAATAAATGGAATGCTATCAAATTCCAGTTACTCCCTTCCAGACATTATTTTGAGCTGTCCTCCCTTCGCCAGCCTCCTGTGCCAGCCAGTAATAATAGGTAAGGGTCCACCTAAAGCCAACACCCTGAAATCAAGGTGGTGTGATGGAATCAAGGGTCCACCTAAAGCCAACATCCTGAAATCAAGGTGGTGTGATGGAGGCAAGGGTCCACCTAAAGCCAACACCCTGAAATCAAGGTGGTGTGATGGAATCAAGGGTCCACCTAAAGCCAACACCCTGAAATCAAGGTGGTGTGATGGAGGCCAAATGAGTCAAACTGAGGAGACGAGAGGGAGGAGATATGCGATATGATTAATCACTCTGTCTCTTTATGGTAAAATACTTCAGTTTGACTGCAGTAGACAAGCTAACCTATAATGTTGTATCAATAAAAGCAATAACCTATATATATATATATATATATATATATATATATTTATATATATATATATATATATAAATAAATAAATATTAGGCCTACTGCAAACTTGCTCGCAAGCATCCTTAATATGTAAACTACAGGGCTTGATTTGCATGGTAGAACTTGATGTGCCAGTTAAACGTGTAGTGTCAATCTCATAGGGCCAGTTTCCTGAACCCAGATGAAGCCTCATCCTGGACTAGAAAAGCATTTTCAATGGAGATTCCCAATTGACAATGTCTTTTTTTAGTCCTGGGGAAACTCTTAATCTGGGTCTGGGAAACCAGCCCAAATTATTGTTGGGTAACAGTTGACACTCGGTACGCTCGAACAATGCGCCAGAACCAATGTTATTATTTTGACACCACACTTCACTCTAAACCACTACCTTATCCGCTGGTGGCTATGATGGTTATGACTGTTGATTATTATTATTATTTCAGCCATTCGGTAGTTAAATTCAGGACCAATCTTTCTTTTGAATTTGTGTATTTCAAAATGTATTGTTTAGTGCCATAACTTGAAATTGTATTCTATTAAACTGTTCAAATCTTGCTTGAAATGCCAGCTTTTTTTTTTTATGATATCCCTTTCATGTTAAGATGCTTTTCTATGATATCCCTTTCATATTAAGACGGCCCTTTCATATTAAGACACATTTATATGATATCCCTTTCATATTAAGACGGCCCCATGTCGCAAGGATCTGTGCACGATTCCTGGAAGCTGAAAATGCCCCAGTTCTTCCATGGCCTGCATACTCAACAGATACTTTCGAAAGCCACTGTATTCACCCCCCTTGGCATTTTTCCTATTTTGTTGCCTTACCACCTGGAATTAAAATGGATTTTTTGGGGGGGCTTATATCAGTTGATTTACACAACATGCCTACCACTTTTTGAAGATGCAAAATATTTTTTGTGAAACACGAAATAAGACAAAAAAACAGAGAACTTGAGCATGCATAACTATTCACCCCCCCCAAAGTCAATACTTTGTAGAGCCACCTTTTGCAGCAATTACAGCTGCAAGTCTCTTGGGCTATGTCTCTATAAGCTTGGCACATCTAGCCACTGGGATTTTTGCCCATTCTTCAAGGCAAAACTGCTACAGCTCCTTCAAGTTGGATGGGTTCCGCTGGTGTACAGCAATTTCTAAGTCATACCACAGATAATTGGATTGAGGTCTGGGCTTTGACTAGGCCATTCCAAGACATTTAAATGTTTCCCTTTAAACCACTCGAGTGTTGCTTTAGCAGTATGCTTAGGGTCACTGTCCTGCTGGAAGGTGAACCTCCGTCCCAGTCTCAAATCTCTGGAAGACTGAAACAGGTTTCCCTCAAGAATGTCCCTGTATTTAGCGCCACCCATCATTCCTTCAATTCTGACCAGTTTCCCAGTCCCTGCCGATGAAAAACATCCCCACAGCATGATGCTGCCACCACCATGCTTCACTGTGGGGATGGTGTTCTCGGGGTGATGAGAGGTGTTGGGTTTGCGCCAGACATAGCGTTTTCCTTGATGGCCAAAAAGCTTGATTTTAGTCTCATCTGACCAGAGTACCTTCTTCCATATATTTGGGGAGTCTCCCACATGCCTTTTGGCGAACACCAAACGTGTTTGCCTATTTTTTTTTCTTTAAGCAATGGCTTTTTTTCTGGCCACTCTTCCGTAAAGCCAAGCTCTGTGGAGTGTACGGCTTAGTGGTCCTATGGACAGATACTCCAATCTCCACTGTGGAGCTTTGCAGCTCCTTCAGGGTTATCTTTGGTCTCTTTGTTGCCTCTCTGATTAATGCCCTCCTTGCCTGGTCCGTGAGTTTTGGTGGGCTGTTCTCTCTTGGCAGGTTTGTTGTGGTGCCATATTCTTTCAATTTTTTAATAATGGATTTAATGGTGCTCCGTGGGATGTTCAAAGTTTCGGATATATTTTTATAACCCAACCCTGATCTGTACTTCTCCACAACTTTGTCCCTGACCTGTTTGGAGAGCTCCTTGGTCTTCATGGTGCCGCTTGCTTGGTGGTGCCCCTTGCTTAGTGGTGTTGCAGACTCTGGGGCCTTTCAGAACAGGTGTATATATACTGACATCATGTGACACTTAGATTGCACACAGGTGGACTTTATTTAACTAATTATGTGACTTCTGAAGGTAATTGGTTGCACCAGATCTTATTTAGGGGCTTCATAGCAAAGGGGGTGAATACATATGCATGCACCACTTTTCCATTATTTATTTTTTAGAACTTTTTGAAACAAGTTATTTTTTCATTTCACTTCACCAATTTGGACTATTTTGTGTATGTCCATTTACATGAAATAAAAATAAAAATCCATTTAAATTACAGGTTGTAATGCAACAAAATAGGAAAAACGCCAAAGGGGATGAAAACTTTTGCAAGGCACTGTATGTCACCCATTGAGCATGTTTGGGATGCTTTGGATCGACATGTAGGACAGTGTGTTCCAGTTCCCGCCAATATCCAGCAACTTCGAACAGCCATTGAAGAGGAGTGGGACAACATTTCACAGGCCACAATCAACAGCCTGATCAACTCTATGCGAAGGAGATGTGTCGCTCTGCATGAGGCAAATGGTTGTCACACCAGATACTGACTGGTTTTCTGATCCACACCCTTACTTTTTTTTTTTTTTTTAAGGTATCTGTGACCAACAGATGCATATCTGTATTCCCAGTCATGTAAAATCCATAGATTAGGGCCTAATGAATTTATGTCAATTGACTGAGAATGTTGCATGTTGCGTTTATTTTTGTTTAGTATAGATAATTTCAGCACCTTTTTAATTGGGACAGCGCCATCGCGCTGCTTTGAGACAAACGTGGGACTCCTCTTGATAAATCTATTAATGTCCGATTTTTTGTTTAGGCTACAATAAAGGCTGGGGAAATGTTAGCTAAATTGAGGTGAGTGCTGCCCACGATCATCTTGTCTAGTTGACTCATTAGAACATTTTGCCATGTTATGTAGTTTAACAAGTGGATTATTTTTGCTCTTCAGTCGTTTAGTAGCCTAGGTCTACTCCCGACTATAATATAATATTATGCCATTTAGCAGACGCTTTTATCCAAAGCGACTTACAGTCATGTGTGCATACATTTTTTTAAACGTATGGGTGGTCCCGGGGATCGAACCCACTACCCTGGCGTTACAAGCGCCACGCTCTACCAATTGAGCTATAGAGGACCACTAAAAGCCTGTGATTTCACTGACTTGTCTGATAATCAATCAATGTGATTTCGCTTCACCGAATCTCCGTCTATAGGCTATTTGTTTTCTGGCTAATAATTAGTTTGCTCATCTATCACTGATCAGAAACATGTAGCCTAAATCAAGTGTAGGCTAATTATTTTTTTGCTCCATCGGATATATAGGCAACTCCAAAAGCCTGCTGAGGTTGTGAAATATGAAGGAGGGAAACATGCTTTTTAAAATAGGGCTGCTATTTATTTTCTATCGGTATTATGATGAAGGTAAGACCCTATGCCTGCTCCCCTAACAAAGCGGAGTGAGGGCAGGAAAGAGATTAAACATCGATCAAAAAAGCTTGGGTTTAGGCTCTGTTTGAAAACATCACTTTTTATATGACAGCATTCCAGTGACAAGTTGTGTGGGGGGAAAATGTGTATTTTATTCTGTTATATCCCATGATATTCTTACTATAAAATACTGTATGTGTGTGTGTTGACTGTTTAATGAACTATTGATTTCATTTGGATGGCACAGCCATGGCTGCACAGACCCATAACATAGGCCTAATTCAACTAAAAATACATTTTTATTAGTCTTGTGTTTCTTAGGACCCGCCTAAACTAATTAATAATGGATTTCTATTTGAATGGATTTATTAAAATAGAAACCCATCTACATCTGCACACCACTACTACGACAAAGCCTATTCCCCCTCAGGAGACTGAAAAGATTTGGCATGGGTCCTCAGATCCTCAAAAAAATTATACAGCTGCACCATCGAGAGCATCCTGACTGGTTGCGTCACCGCCTGGTATGGCAACTGCTCGGCCTCCGACCGCAAGGCACTACAGAGGGTAGTGCGTACGGGCCCAGTACATCACTGGGGCCAAGCTTCCTGCCATCCAGGACCTCTATACCAGGCGGTGTCAGAGGAAGGCCCTCAAAATTGTCAAAGACTCCAGCCACCCTAGTCATAGACTGTTCTCTCTGCTACCGCACGGCAAGCGGTACCGGAGTGCCAAGTCTAGGTCCAAAAGACTTCTCAACAGCTTCTACCCCCAAGCCATAAGACTCCTGAACAGCTAATCATGGCTACCCGGACTATTTGCACTGCCCCCCACCCCCCACCCCATCTTTTTTACGCTGCTGCTACTCTGTTAATTATTTATGCATAGTCACTTTAACTCTACCCACATGTACATATTACTTCAACTACCTCAACTAGCCGGTGCCCCCGCACATTGACTCTGCACCGGTACCCCCCTGTATATATAGCCTCCCTACTGATAATTTATTTTACTTCTGCTCTTTTTTTCTCAACAGTTTTTTAGTAGTTTATTTTTTGTATAAATATTTGTAATTTTTTGTATTTGTTTGTATTTTGTATATATATATATTTTTTGGAATGGATCAGCTTAATATTGCAGATAGATTGTATCTTCTATCAATGTAATTGTCTGCATCACTTCCAATCCCCCATGTTTATTTTTTTTATTTTATTTTTTATTTTAATATATATACTCCCCTTTATTACTTTTCAACCCCACCATCCTTTCCCTACTTGGAGTAAATTAGTGAACAACAATGCCCAGGCCTCTACTTCCGGTCTATACTTACTATCTACACCTTATGGACAGAGTTAATTTTACAATAATTATATTATATATATATATATATATATATATATATATATATATATATATATATATATATATATTTTTTTTTTTTTTATTGCTCCTGAACTTCTTCTACTCTCAACCTCTCCGATCATTTTCATGATGTCCATCCGGTTTGCTTCTATATGCCATATCTTTCTAACTGTGCTCTTTCCCAAAAGCTCCCAACATACAACCTATATACTTATTATGGACACAGTATGCTTACATTATTAGCTATCTTTGTTATTATTTGTTGTTATTTGTTATTAGTCCCATCCTTCAACTCTATTCAATACCTCCCATCTATCTCTTAACACCATCCATATAGGATTTCTATTTGCCATATATATTTCAACCGTACTGTGATGTTTTACAAAAGTTCTGAACCTTTCTATTCTCATTGCTTCTACAGATTGTGAATTAAAAATAAACATTTTTGCTAAAAGTATTATTATATTATTGATTGATTGACTATGACTTTTCAGATCACCCAGTAATGCTATCTGCAAGGTTAGCTCCAGGTAAATATTGCAATCCTTTAGCCGTTCCTGGACCTGTGTCCAAAAACAAAAAAACAGTTTTTTGTTGTTGTTTCATTTTACTTTTTTATTAAAAATAAATGCACTGTTGGTTAAGGCCTGTAAGTAAGCATTTCACTGTAATGTACCTGTTGTATTCGGCGCATGTGGCCAATAAAATTTGATTTGATTTGATTTGTCCCTGGCATGCACATGGGAGGTATGAATGGTGTATGCAGTCAAGAATGTAGTAAAAATTGGCCTTTTTGTACGGGGGTCATATAAACATTGCCAAATGTTTATTACAGGCTAAATACCGTAAATCCTATGTGAAATCAGTATCATATTCATATTGCAGGCTTTCTGCAATAAAATGTAGGCCTATCCCTATGACCGCTGAGTGTCGCCCTAGCTCAAAGGAACACTTTTTGATTGCAGTCTAAGGATTGGATATGAGGTTCCCGTGTAGAACCAATCAAAATCCTTTGGAGGCGGGGTTATCAAGTCACACGGAAGTTACTGCGCATTTTACACGTTTTCGAAGGTGAGTCAGTTCTGAGTTGTTGTTGAACAATGTTTTAAAAACGAAAATAAGAATCACAACGTGAACATTGTAATTTAATGTGCGCAGTAGTTACTGTTGTACCAGTGAATAAAGTCTGAGCTTCAAAGGAAATAAGCTTAGTTTACTAGCTATAGTAGACGGCTAACGTTAGCTAGCTAGGTCCATTGGTTGACACCATTACCTTTACCTTCTGGATGACATCCCGGTTTTTACTGTTAGGTAGCTAATCTATGTAACCAGTCGGCTCATATAAAAACGAACTATCTATGTAATCAGAAGTTTGTAACAAGCTACTGTTAACTATTAGCTAGCTATTTAGGCCTACATGTGGTTGTGACTCAGTCAAGTAGTTAGCTAACTAGCTAGCCTGGAAACCCGACCTTGAATTTCATTGAATTCTATGTCGGGCATAAATTAGCGTTTGGATCAGGAAAGTTTCCACTCAGGACCGTTTACAAGCCATAATGTTGAATATAATAATATGTGGTCCTCTGTAGCTCAGCTGGTAGAGCACGGCGCTTGTAACGCCAAGGTAGTGGGTTCGATCCCCGGGACCACCCATACACAAAAATGTATGCACTGAATGACTGTAAGTCGCTTTGGATAAAAGCGTCTGCTAAATGGCATATTATTATTATATTAACTCACTTTACCAGTTGTCTGTGTGTTTAGTTCTTTCGCAGGAAGGAATGTGAGACAATATATCCACAGGAAAGTATAATGACATCACCTTTTCAAAGTGCTAGTAGTGTGTTCAAATTTCTATCACCTGAAACATGCACAGAACCATGTAAACGTGTGCACAAGCTCGGGAAGTATGCATGCATCTCATTCATGTATTTTCATCTTGTGCACAACATTCTGCCCAGTAGAGGTCAGTGAGAGGAAACTTTCCTGATCCAACCACCCAGTAGAGGTCAGTGAGAGGAAACTTTCCTGATCCAAACGCTCATTTAGGCCTGACATTGAATCCAATGTAATTCAACTTCGGGTCTCCAGGCTACTAACTAGCTAAGTAACTTGAAGATATAGGCTAGCCCCAGTTTTAATGTGCAGTTTCAGGTGATGTGTCATGTCTGATTTTAGAGTCGTTCACCAACAAATCATTTGGTTTCAATAAAAGGTAAACACGACAGTCTGTCTTGAAGTGAAACCTGTGGTACCATGCCGTCTCTCCTTGTATTACAGACAATGGAAGACCCAGGCATTTAAAGCACCCTAGTTGAACCCTCTCTGGGCTGAAAACATGCTCATCCTGTCACCCTCAGATTGTTTCCTTTTTGTAACTCTGAAATACCACAACAGCTACTAACCCCCCCCCCCCCCCTTTCTATTTCATTCCCCAGCTGACCTTACCCTGCACCAGCACCCCCAGCCCCTGTGAGCCCATCCCAGCCCCTGTGAGCCCATCCCAGCCCCAGTGAGCCCACCCTAGCCCCAGTGAGCCCACCCTAGCCCCAGTGAGCCCACCCTAGCCCCAGCTCCAGTCATTATGTGGCCAGTGTTATGGCTGTCCATGCGGACCTATGCCCCCTACATAACCTTCCCGGTGGCCTTCGTGGTGGGGGCGGTGGGGTACCACCTGGAGTGGTTCATCAGGGGGGACACCACCCCTAAACCTGGGGAGGAGAAGAGCATCGTGGAGCTGAGGGAGGAGAGGAAGCTGGAGGAGGGGGCAGGACGGGACAGCACCCAGGTCCTCAGTCTCAAAGAGAAGCTGGAGTTTACCCCCCGGGCAGCGCTGGACCGCAACCGACCCGAGAAGAGCTAACCGTGCCTGGGGTAGACTGACGGGTGTCCACCACCCCTAGTCCTGGAGTCCTGGATCAAGGGGTGAAGGGAGTGGAATGATCGATATGAACTCTGGATTGCTGATGCTATGTAATGGCCAATGAGAGGGATTGCTGATGCTATGTAATGGCCAATGACAGGGATTGCTGATGCTATGTAATGGCCAATGAGAGGCTTTGAAGCCACCGGTCGGCCATTTTGCCACTCCCCAGTAGGAGCAGTCCTCCATAGGAATGAATGGAACTCTACAGTATTTCAATTACTTTTTTCAAGGAGAAAATTACATGTATTTCAGTATTTTGTTGTTGTAGTGGGGACAGTAAGTTTAGAACTTTCCAAAAATTATACTTTAAGGAAAAAGTTATATATTTTAATTTTATGTTTGGCTCACATAATTTAAAAATATATATTAAAGTGTCTGTAATATAATAAATATGGCAAAAACAAATGTAGACAATAAATGCGTTTCTATAGCTTCCAAAATATTTTTTTTACAATTGAGGCCGTGTACCAAGATGGATGCATGTTTGCTTCAGAACAGCGCCCCCTGACAGTCATCTAGTGTGTGTGTATATATAATTGGCGTGGAAGGCGCTAACCAAAGGGATTTGAATCATCTTCTCCTCAACATACACACATCAGCCAACCATTGTCACTCATATGCCCAAAGAACTGGCATCATACTATACTTGGACGTCATTGGCTTGGGCACCTGTGGTGGCACTGATCTGTTTGAGACTGGAGGATCATGGGAGATGTAGTGTTTGTTTTAGGGTGCTGAATATCCATGCGGCTCATTAATGATTTGTGATTCTGTCTTTCTCTCATGAACACACACACACATATAGGCGGCTGGTTATTCAGTTTTCATAGTGATCGGGTTCACCACATTAACCGTTGGAGAGTGTATTTTCAAAGCTGAGTGTATTAAGTCCCTGGGCACTCAATCTGGTGACTAGCGCTGGGGTATCTCCTGATGAGTCACTGCTCTCTTCTGCTCCTGAGATGCGCACAAGACTGATCAAAGAACAAAGGGTCCTTATTGTGTGTGTGTGAGAGACTTTCAATGTGTCTAAATATTTTTTTAAATCTCATGAAAGAGAAGAGTATTGTCGATAACAGAAAATAACTGAAGCCAAGTTGAATGAACGAGTGCCGAGGTAGAATTAAACACATGGGAGGAAGAAAAGAAAGGGACCCGGCCAGAAGGCTTTGAAACGTCTTCTCCTTTAATCCTCTCCTCTGTTCTCCAGAAATTAAAATGGCTTCCAGTCAGCAAGCATGATGAAGGGGGGAGGAGGAGAAAGAGGAGAAGGATGAGGAGAAGGAGGAGGAGGGGGGGAGAAGGGGGGGTAGAGGAGGAGGAGAGGGGGAGGAGGGAAAGGGGAGGAGGAAGAGGAGTGTTTGCTCTCATCTCGTCATTTTACCTCGTTTCTTTGCTGCCTTCTCTTTTCTGTGACTGGGATTCAATACCAAGAAAGACTTACATTTACATTGACATGTTAGTCATCCAGCAGACGCTCTAATCCAGAGCGATTTACAGTTAGTGAGTGGATACATTATTATTATTATTATTATTATTTTTCATACTGGCCCCCCGTGGACTTCACTGTAAAAGGCTGAGTGCTCTATTAGAGAACTGAAACTGGCCTTTTCTGTCTGTCATTTACATGGTTTCATTTAGAAAGTCTGTAAACGTACACTGGTTCATTTGTTTGATGGATTAAGATATATATATATTTTAGGATTTGGATGGAAGATACGAAATGTGCCCGTCTGTCGGGTGCAACCGCTCATTGCATGCTGTCAGATGATTGTATCTTCGCTGTTATAAAACCACAATATAATAAAGATGACATGTGTCTCAGAGAACCATTCATATTGTGTTTCCTTCACAATACAACATCTACCCACTTGTCTTAGATATAAGAGTTAAGTGGTGTGTGTGTGTGCATGTTTTATCCATATTTTTGGTTCATATTTCAGGGAGCAAGAATGTGATCACATATCCTGGAACCCTCTGTTCTGGGAAAGGGAAGAGAGGAAAAGGGAAGAGAGGGCGCCCACAAAAACACCTGGAGGCTGGAGCTAGAAGCAGACAGACACCGAAAGATCCGACATGGGGAACGAGTGGGAGTAGACAGCCCAGAACAGAGTGCGATGGAGAGGAGTCGTCGATGGCCTATGTTCCCTGGGGAGTGACAACGAGCCTATGTAAGTAAAGTATACAATCACGTAATTAAGCCAGATATCCAACCAGAACTAGTTTGAGCATAATACTATTATCAGATTGATGAAGGACTTGTTTAAACGTTGTGGTATGTCATGGGTAGGGGCTAAGGGTTTATTTTGGACTGGGCCCATTCATGCCATGGGACAGGAAGTGATGACACAGCCAGCTCTCTTCCTAACAGGAAATGAGATCTCCCAGGCGGGGAAGCGGCTGCCAGCACACAGAGAAATGACATTCCATTCCTGACGATAAATACCCATTCCTATCCTTTTCTATTCACGTCACATGATTCAGCTCTTTCTAGGGTTAGGCTGAAGTTGCCCCTAGAAACTTGCCTGGCTACCCAGAATCCTTGCTCGGCCAAAACACCACTGCGGACGTAGTTTCTTTCCACAATGAGTCTGGTTTGAGTACCTTCCCATGAACCTTCACCGATGAAAACATTGGACGTCTTTGCAAAGACGATAGGTTGGGCAGAGCCGAACACATGATAAAGCGGCAGTTGAAAATACTATCTGGTATGATACATGTTGGTTAGAGAAAATCATCGGATACTTTATACAACGCCCCCTATTCACAACAAACTACGCAGGGAGATGACTTTAATACCAGGTCCTCTTCTTTAATAACAGGTCCATCTTAATACCAGGTCCTCCTTAAGGTCTCTCTTACGGTCCACTCCTTAATATCAGGTCCTCTCCTTAATACAGGTCATCTCCTTAATACAGGTCCTTCCTAATCCAGGTCTCTTCTTTAATACCAGTCACTCCTTATACCAGGTCCTCTCTTAATACGGTCTCTTTTAATCGGTCCACTCTTTATACCGGGTCCTCTTTAACCAGGTCTCTCCTTTATACCAGGTCCTCTACTTAATACCAGGTCCTCTTCTTTAATACAGGTCTCTCTTAATACCAGCTCTCCTTTAAACAGTACCTCCCTTAATACAGGTCCTCTCTAATACCAGGTCCTCCTTTAATACAGGTCCTCCTTAAATACCAGGTCACTCTTAATACCAGGTCTATCCTTTTCTCTTAACCAGGTCACCCTTAATACCAGTCCTCTCTTTAATACCGGGTCTCTTTTTATACTGGGTCCTCCTTTAATACCGGGTCCTCTCCTTTAATACCGGTCCTCTCCTTAATACCAGGTCCTTTTCTTTAATACGGGTCCTCTCCTTTAATACAGGCTCTCCTTTAATACGGGTCTCTCCTTTAATACAGACCTCTCCTTTAATACCAGGTCCTCCTTTAAACCAGTCCTCTTTAATTCAGTTCCTCTTCTTTAATACCGGGTCCATCTTCTTTAATACCAGTCCTCCTTTAAATACCGGGTCCACTCCTTTAATACCAGGTCCTCTCTTTAATACCAGGTCCTCTCCTTTAATTTCAGGTCCTCTTCTTTAATACCAGGTCCTCTCTTTAATTTCAGGTCCTCTTCTTTAATACCAGGTCCTCTCTTTAATTCAGGTCCTCTTCTTTAATACCAGGTCCTCTCCTTTAATACCAGGTCCTCTCCTTTAATACCAGGTCCTCTCCTTTAATACCAGGTCCTCTCCTTTAATACCAGGTCCTCTCCTTTAATACCAGGTCCTCTCCTTTAATACCGGGTCCTCTCCTTTAATACCAGGTCCTCTCCTTTAATTTCAGGTCCTCTTCTTTAATACCGGGTCCTCTCCTTTAATATCGGGTCAACTCCTTTAATACCAGGTCCTCTCCTTTAATACCAGGTCCTCTCCTTTAATACCAGGTCCTCTCCTTTAATACCAGGTCCTCTCCTTTAATTTCAGGTCCTCTTCTTTAATACCGGGTCCTCTCTTTAATACCAGGTCCTCTCCTTTAATTTCAGGTCCTCTTCTTTAATACCAGGTCCTCTCCTTTAATATCGGGTCCTCTCCTTTAATACCAGGGCCTCTCCTTTAATACCAGGTCCTCTTCTTTAATACCGGGTCCTCTTCTTTAATACCAGGTCCTCTCCTTTAATATCGGGTCAACTCCTTTAATACCAGGTCCTCTCCTTTAATACCAGGTCCTCTCCTTTAATTTCAGGTCCTCTTCTTTAATACCGGGTCCTCTTCTTTAATACCAGGTCCTCTCCTTTAATTTCAGGTCCTCTTCTTTAATACCAGGTCCTCTCCTTTAATACCGGGTCCACTCCTTTAATACCAGGTCCTCTCCTTTAATACCGGGTCCTCTCCTTTAATACCAGGTCCTCTCCTTTAATACCAGGTCCTCTTCTTTAATACTGGGTCCTCTCCTTTAATACCAGGTCCACTCCTTTAATACCAGGTCTTCTCCTTTTCTCCTTTAATACCAGGTCCACTCCTTTAATACCAGGTCCTCTCCTTTAATACCGGGTCCTCTTCTTTAATACCGGGTCCTCTCCTTTAATACCGGGTCCTCTCCTTTAATACCGGGTCCTCTCCTTTAATACCAGGTCCTTTTCTTTAATACCGGGTCCTCTCCTTTAATACCAGGTCCTCTCCTTTAATACCGGGTCCTCTCCTTTAATACCAGATCCTCTCCTTTAATACCAGGTCCTCTCCTTTAATACCAGGTCCTCTCCTTTAATTTCAGGTCCTCTTCTTTAATACCGGGTCCTCTTCTTTAATACCAGGTCCTCTCCTTTAATACCGGGTCCACTCCTTTAATACCAGGTCCTCTCCTTTAATACCAGGTCCTCTCCTTTAATTTCAGGTCCTCTTCTTTAATACCAGGTCCTCTCCTTTAATTTCAGGTCCTCTTCTTTAA